GAGTAAATTTTAAACATCTTATTGGCTCTGTTCAATGATTCGTGAATCAGGCAGTGTCCCAGCTCGCAGATTAAAAGGTGCTCTGAGGAGCTATACAAGAGGCAGAAGGGAGCTGGAACCTGGAAGTTATACTAAGCACAAAAAGCAGGTTGATTATTGCAAGATTACTTTCCTTTAGGGGGTGGCAGGGATTATTAGGCAGATGACCTAACTGGTGCTGATGAGGTGGTTCCTGATAGACTGGTTTAAGATTCCATTTCTGAGACAGCCAAACTGTAATTAAATCGATTCTGTTTGGTGACGTGAGGCTTTGCCTAGGTGACTCCATTTGGAGCCGTTCTTATTTTTAGCGGTGCCAAATGTCACTAAAATCTTAATCTTTTGGGACACAGTCTTCCTCCTCTACCAATGTGGTTAGAGGGACCTATACCCCACCTCCATCTGCAAACACAAATTGCACACACACTATTTTAGGACAGATTTGTCAGGTCTGAAGTCCATCTGTCCTCCATGTTTTACTGGCCCTGCTCCTCTCACCGCTCCCCCCCCCACCCCGTCACCGCCAAGGCTGCTAGGTGTTTAAATCCTGGCTTTGCCACTCTCTTGAGTATTTAAAGTTTACATGTGATTCTGGCTCAGACTTTAACCTTTTCCAGATGAGGCTACTGAGGTTCACAGTTTAACTTTGCCCAAGACCAAACAGTTAATGAACCTATGGGGATTTAAAGCTCAGATCCAGCCTGGTTCCAAAGTTTTTTCTCTTTAGCTGTAGGCCATGCTGCTCTGAAGGTGAGCGGCCTTCTTATTCAGCCCCCATCCCTGCCAAGGTTAGAGGTAGTGAGCATTCCATTCAATTGTCTCATTTGCTAATCTGTTTTCTTCTGCAATCTTCTACAGAACTTTGTGAATGCGATATGGACATTTATTTTGCATGAGTAATACCAATTTTACATACATATTTTTGTCTTGGATATGATTCATTCAATGTTTTTATTTTGTTGGAATTTATATTCACACATCCCAAAATATTAATTTTTTAAAGGAATTGGTAAACAGTGGTGATGAGATTTTGCAAGAAATAAAAAACCTAACAACGAAGCTGAAGGAAAGAGATGAAAACATTGAACATATCAGCATTTGGCTACAAGGGAATCTTGACGAGTTGCGTGATCTTATGGAACAGGAATTGGAAACAGACCTCCATAGTAAGTAACTTCTCAAAGCTTTGGGTAACAAAGAACCTCTTGTTATTTTACTGTAGCCAGTACTATCAAAAAGGCATTTAAAAAACTAACCAAATAACGTCATTAACCCTAATAATCCTTCCCCAATTTATGTCACATTCACCTAAACATTGCTTCTCATTTGTGGGGTCGAATGTGGCAATGAAGCAGTGTTGGACAAATCTCCAAAAGAACTGGACCAAAAGAACTATGAGAGAACCTAACTGGGGAAGAGACTTGACCCTAGTTAAGGAATGGGGAGAGGCCTCTGTATGACCAGAAATGGAGCTGAGAGCACAAGGAAGTTTTCTGGCTTCCTTAACTCCACTTATTTCTGTTCCTGGAGCACTGGCACTGTGTGGGCTTTGAAGGTAGGTGGGCCTAGGCTCAGATATTGGCTCTGCTTATTTCGTGTTATTTAATCTCTACTCCCCAGTTTCCCTGGTTGTAAAATATGGATAGTTAACTGCAAGTTATAGAGCATCAGACCCAAATTAGGCACTCATCAGATCTCCTGAAATCTAGCGCCCTCCTGTGGGAGGTGATAGTCAACCACAGCTCCTTGGATTACCTGACCATCTCTGAGCCACTGTAATCTAGTTTTTGGATTTTCCCTGTTGAATGGCTGCCCTCAAGGATGGAACTTCTAGGGGCGCCTGAGTGGCTCAGTGGGTTAAAGCCTCTGCCTTCGGTCAGGTCATGATCCCAGGGTCCTGGGATCGAGCCCCGCATTGGGCTCTCTGCTCAGCAGGGAGCCTGCTTCCTCCTCTCCCTCTGCCTGCCTCTCTGCCTACTTGTGATCTCTGTCTGTCAAATAAATAAATAAAAATCTTTTAAAGGATGGAACTTCTAGAGAAGGCCTTGATCTCTTCCAGCTCAACAGCGCTTGCTTGTCCTTTTCTGGACACCATCTGTCACTGCAGCTGTGCAGATCCTGGCCCTCTCCTTCTGGAATGCTGCACCAAGCTCCAGAAGCAGATGGAGCACCTTTGAGCCTGCCAAGAGAGCTGCAATCACTAAGCTGAATAAGACCCAGTCCCTGAACCTCGATGTGCATACACTGAGAGAACAAACAAGGAAAGAGCATATATAAGGGATTCCTTCTAGTGAGTGGCTATGAGAGGATAGAGAGGAACCTCTAAGCTTTTTTTAGGTGTTGGGAATACACAGGGATGCCTTCCTGAGAGGGCAATAGACGTGCTCTGGCTGAGGGCTGCAACAGCATGGCTGAGTGGGTATCTGCTGGGGGTTCCGACTGGCACATGTGGAGGACAGGCTTATCAGAACTTAAAATGCCAGACTTATCTTGAAAACGAAGATCGTTACTTTTTGCCTTAACATTCCTTCTTGCAAATAAAAGGTAAACAAGCTCTTAGTGTGTATTCCTAAATCAAATAGTAACTGAGTATAGATTATTTTTTAAGAAGTATTAAAAATAATTGTTTTAAAATTCTAGAAGTTCCCAAGTCTTATATAACAAGTTACAGATAAATAATTTGTGTATTAACTAAATATTTTCACTTGATATGTGCGGTACAGAAAACTTTTTTTAAAGGTCAAGGGATATTTTAAAAGAAATACCAAATTTGTATACATTGTCACCTTTTTATTATGGTGATGAGGACCTGAGAGTTGTATTTTGATCATTTAATTCTGGAAAAGAAATATTAAGGCAGAATCAAAATTTCAGTAAGAAATAATTTTAAAAGTTTGCTGAAAAATTGTCAAAAGGTCTCTTGGAAAAATTAAGCATCTGAACTAAGAAGAGTTTATACCATACTCTCACGCATTAGAATCACCTGTAAGAGGTTTAAAAAATCCTTCTGCTCAGCCTGTACCCTAGGCCAATTCTGAATCTCTCGGGGTGGGACCCAGGCATGTTTTAGACCTCTCTCCAGTGGGCTCTAATGGGTAGCCAAATCTTGCAAACGAACAGTTTTAGACAAATAAATAACCGTGTAATTGTTAAATTTATCAATTGACCCAAATCAAAATATTTTGACCTTTAAATTATCTATCCAGCACTGGTTAGCAAAATAATTACCATGCACTATAGCAGTGAGAGTTGTAATGCCCTATAAGGACATAAGTAAAAACTGAACAAAGCTGAGCCAGGACAAAGGTGATTTGTTTATATGTTTAATAACCACATTTTAACAGCTCATTTAGTAACATTAGCAACCACAGTTGCTATGATTTGCTTTGGTCTTGTTCTTAAAGCAAATGAAAAATGCACACACCTATTTAAGTATTCCTGAGAATCTTTGCATTTGAAGAATTATAATTACTTGCATGATCTTCTTCTTGCACACATATTTTTTTGCTAGGAGATCAGAGAAGATAATTGCTAAAATGGCTCCATTTTAACAATTGTCCCTCAATGTGGAGGGACAGATATGATCCTGGTAGTCAGACACATGGCTCCCTACACTTCCTTCCCCTGCCACACCACATCCCAGATTACATAATTGTCCAGTTGAGGATTCTTTGGGAAATTTAGAATTTTAATGCACACTAATAACCACCCAAACTTGTGTGACATACACAGAATTTTCGCATTTTATTTTTACTCTTACAGAAAAGAAGAAACAAATCTGTATCAAAAAAGTCCATCCCCCGGTGGTTGAATGTACTATGAAAAACATTAACAAAGAAAAGCTAACAAAATAACTTGAAGGCTACAACTGCTGTGAATTTAAAAGGCACAAACAAAACTATAAAACAAGTGAGTGCACTTTCTTTCATAATTTGCAATGGTCAATGGATGTCCTAAGTTTAACAAACCTGCATAATCCCCATTAAACAGAATCTGTAAATAACCTTCTAAACAATACAAAGGGATAAAATAGTCAGATTATTAGGTTAAGTGCCAAAAAACCTTATTTTGCTCCCACATGGATCTCTTAAAGGATTCCGAGCATAAAGTCCACAGCACACCTATTAATAACTAACCACAGGAAAACTATATGTTGTATATATTCTGTATTTAGTTTTAGAAGGTATCAATTTTAAGATGCATCCTAATTCAGAGATGTCACAATGTGAAAAAAGTTTCAGGATCAATAAAATATGGCATTGTCCTTCAAAATGAGACCAAAGAGGAAGGGACTATGTGAATACATGTATTTATTCATTTGGACTACTTAAGTCTGAATTATTTCCACAAGTAGTGTGGCAAAATACAATTAAATGTCAACATCTGAGATTTTTTGTAGTTAAGCATTTTATTGTTTTTCTTAACAGAAACAATCATCAGAAGACGTCTTCAACCAAACTACCCATAAAAAGAAAACTTGTTATATAAATTATCCTCTATTTTTATAATCAAAATACTGTACTGGTAAAAATAAATAACAATAAACAACATACTTCATTTTCATATTTGCTATCAGACCCACAAGGTATGTTTGTCCTTATAATTCATTATACTTGAAAAACAAATTGAAATACAACAGACATGCACAATTAGGCCAATGCTTAGGATTTCAGATTTTACCTACCAAGATATAGAGAAACATGATTTTGTTCTAAAGAATAACTAAATTGTTGAGGAGGCAAGTGCTTCCTAACATGCTCCTAGTGTCACAGAATGCTAAAGTATATATTTAATGTAACAGGCTACTACAGCATTTTGTATTTTCCAACTCTAACCATAAAGTCTGTTAAGTCAAAAACAGAAAAATAAGTCAAAAACAGAAAAATAAGTCCAAAAACCCCTAATCTTTCTTCCAGGTACAACAGAAGAATATTAATGCATTTTATTTATTTATCTTTTTTTAACTAAGAACACTTTTTAGGTTTTTTGATATTTTACATTTAGTGTCCGTTGGCTCCTTCAGAGAGTATCCGTGAAGGTTCAGTAAATTTTGCCGTGAACAAGTAAAAAAGAGCTGGTGTAGGTACCAAAGCCAAAAGGGGTAAATCCTGCTCGAGTTTATCCACTCTGGAAATGGATATTATTCCATAGGCGTGAAGTAACCAGTGGCTGAAGAGAACAATAAGTCTTTTCTTTCTCACCAGAAGATCATAGCAGTTCTATATAATTTTGTAAAAGAAAAGACAAATACAAGTTATTGGGCTGAATAAGCTAGATAATTTATTATGTTATAATTTAACATGTATTATTTGTTGGGAAATGGCAGAATAGGAAGATCCTGAGCTCTCCTCATCCCATGGATACAAATGAGATAACACACATCAATGCAACTCACTCTGAAAATGACCCAAAGACTGGCAGCAGAAGACTTCCCCCAGTTAGTTATAGAAAGGAAGCCACATTGAAAAGGGTAAGAAGGGTGGAGTGATGGTTAGGAACCAAGCGCTGAGAGAGACTAACCACAAGAAGCCCAAGGATCAGACCCTACACCAGCAGTCCTAGTCACGGGGGTCCAGCACCGCGAGGAGGAGTCCCCCAGTGGGCCTTACTTAAGAGGTTTTTGTTTTTGTTGTTTTGCAATCAGGGGCCCTTAGCTCCAGGAGAGCCAGAAAATAACAGAGAAACTGAGTACTCCAGCCATTAAAGAGCCATCATAATAGGTAAGTGATGAATCACTAAATTCTACTCCTGAAACCAGTATTACACTAGAGGTTAACTAACTAGAATTTAAAGAAAACAAAAAAGCCAGCCTAACAACCTAACAGAAATACAGCATAGAAGCAGCAGTTTGAAAAGCACCAGGGGTGTATGTGAAGGAGATTTACTAAGTTCAGAACGTTCACAGTAGGGGCAGGGATCTTTAGGAAACTTATCCAAGAACAAAAGAGCTAGCACATTCCCTGACCTCGATACCCAGACACTTGCAGGAACCAGCAGAACACTCTTCACCTAGCTTGCTACCGCCACACCCAGCCCAAGCTCTCTTGGATGCACTCAGCAGGTGTCCCTCCTGCCCCCACGCACTCTGCAAGCAACCCCCGGAGAGATGGCGCCACTCCAAAGCGGCTCCTGCCCTGATAACCAAAAGTGCAGAGGAAGTACCCTGCTGATCAGTGCCATGGTAGCTGCAACAGACAGATGGGGACAAGCATCTGGTGTGATTGCTAGGCCCACCGACCTGCGAACACCTCTCAGGGGACAGGGAAGGGTGAGGTTAACCCTGGAGAATGATTTAACTGCAGCCCAACACACAGAAGGGGGACAGGCATCTGGTCTGACTGCCAATCCTGCCCAACTACAGGCCCTCGGGGGCCCCAGACGGACACCTTCACGGCACAGGCACCAAACCCTGCCTGGTATGCCCTGAGCAGATGAAGGAAGAAGCCACTGCAGCTGACTGGACTGACACAGCCCCAACAGCAAGGCCCATGTACCCCACAGAGGAGGTACCCTCGCAGTGCCTGGTTCTGGTGAATGGCAGCACTGTGCCACAGGACCCCTTCTTTCAAGATCAGGAGATGTAGCTGACTTTTCTAATACAAAGGAAAGAAACAGAGTTAGACAAATGAGGAGACCAAGGAATAAGCCCCGAAGGAAAGATAAGCAACATGCCTGACAAAGTAGTGGTCATAATTGAGCGAAGGATCTCAGTGAGACCTTCAATAAAGAGACACAAAATATAAAACACAACCAGCTGGAAATGAAGAACTAATAACTGAAATGAAAACTACACTAGAGGGAATCAATAGAGAAGGGAGAAGAACAGCTCAGTGATCTGGAAGACTGGTGTAACGGAAAGCTCCAACCTGAACAGCGAACAAAAAAATGTACTAAAAAAGGAGAACAGGTTAAGTGACACCATCCAGCATAACAATAGTCACATAATAGGGATCCCAGAAGGAAAAGAAAGAAAAGGTGCAGAAAATTTATTTGAAGAAATAAAAGCTGAAACTTCCCTAATTTGGGGAAGAAAACAGACATCCAGATGCAGGGAGCACAGACAGCACGTAACAAAACCCAAGACACAATAATTAAAATGGAAAAAGCGATAGAGATTGTATAAGCAGCAAGAGAAAAGAAAGCAATTACACATAAAGGAAACTCCTTAAGACCATATCCGGTGATTTTTCAGCAAAAATTCTGCAGGCCTGAAGGGAATGGCACAATATTTTCAAAATGGTTAAAGAAAAAAAATTGTAACCAAGAATACTCTATTCAGCAAGACTGTTAATGCAGCACTGAAGGAGAAAGGAGTTTTCCTAACCACTAAACTAGCCTTACAAGAGATGTTAAAGGGAATTCTTTGAGTGAAAAAAAAAAAAAAAACAACCCATAATAAGGAGTAAGAAAGCTATAAAAGGAAAAAATGTCACTGGTAAATGCAAACATGTAAAAAAGATTAACCACATATAAAACCACTATGGAGAGTAAAATGTAAAAACAGTAAAATCAATTATAAAAATCAGTCAAGGGACTGACAAAATGATGTAGAGTATGACGACATATACATAAAACATGGCAGGGGTGGAGGGTAGAAATTTAGTGCTTTTAGAATGGATTCAAACGAAAGTGACCCACAACTTAATACAGACTGCTATACATATAAGAAGTTATAAATGAATGTAATGGTAACCACAAATCAAAAACCTATAAAATGTACACAAAAAGATAGGAATCCAAGCATAACACTGAAGGCATCAAACCACAGGAAAGAAAAAAGAGCAGAGAATTAAAAAAATAACAGTAAAACAAGTAACCATGGCAATAAGTACATACCTATCAATAATTACTTTGAGTATAAATGGACTAAATGCTACAATCAAAAGACCGGGTACGGAATGGATAAAAAAACAAAAGCAAAATCCATCTAAGTGCTGCCTTTAACAGACTTTCTTCAGACTTAAACCCACATGCAAGTTTGAAAGTGAAGGGACAGAAAAACACATCACGCAAACAGAAGTTAGAAGATAGTTGGGTTAGCAATACTTATATGGGACAAAATAGACTTTAAAACAAGGAGTGTACCAAGAGATAACTACATAATTATAAAGGGAACAATTCAACAAGAGGATAGAACAATTATAAATATCTATGCACCCAAAAAGGGAGCACCTAATACATAAAGCAACTATTAACAGATAGGAAGAAACTAACAGTAATACAATAATTGTTGGAGACTTTAATATTCCACTTCATCAATGGATACATTATTCAGACAAATCAAAAAGGAAACAATGGCTATGAATGACATCAGACCAGATGGACCTAAATGATATATTCAAACATTCCATCCAAAAACAGTGGATTACACATTCTTTTCAAGTGTGCATGGGATCTTTTCCAGAATGGATCACGTGTTAGGCCACAAAACAAGTCTCAACAAACTTAAAAAGAACAAAATCATATCATGCATCTTTTCCAACCACAAAGGGATGAAACTAGAAATCACAAGAAAAAGTCTAGAAAGAACACAAATACATGGAGACTAACACGTTACTAAATGATTAATGGGTCAACCAAGACACCAAAGAGGAAATAAAAAAATACATGAGACAAATGAAAACTACAGTGGTTCAGTATCTTTCAGATGCAGAAAAAGCTGTTCTAAAAGGAAAGATTATAGCAACAGAGGCCTACCTCAAGAAATAAACATCTCAAACAAAGTAACCTTACCACTAAAGGACCTAGAGAAAGAACAAAGCCCAAAACGAGTAGAAGGAAGAAAATAATAAAGATTACAGCAGACGTAAATGAAATAAGGCAAAAGAAAGAAAGGAAGGAAGGAAGGAAGGAAGGAAGGAAGGAAGGAAGGAAGAAAAAGAAAAGGAAAGAAAGAGAAAATTGAACAGATCAGTGAAACACGAGCTGGCTCTTTGATGATCAACAAAATTGATAAACCTTTAGCCAGACTCAGCAAGAAAAAAAGGTCTCAAATAAAACCAGAAAAGGAGAAGAAATGACTGACACCACAGAAATACAAAGGATGTTAAGGGAATATTATTATGAAAAATTACATGCCAATAAATTGGACAACTTTAAAGAAATGGATACATTCCTAGAAGCATATAACCTCTCAAAAGTGAATCAGAAAGAAATAGAAAACTTGAACAGACCAATTATTATTAAAGGAATGGAATCAGTAATCAAAACACTCCCAACAAAATAAAGCCCAAGACCAGATGTCATCACAGGTGAATTCTATCAGACATTTAAAAAAGAACTAATACCCATTCTTCTCAATCTATTCCAAAAAATAGAAAAGGAAGGAAAGCTTCCAAATTTATTCTACAAGGCCAGCATTACCCTGGTAACAAAATCAGATAAGGACACCACAAAAAAAGGGGAAACTACAGGCCAGTTATCTCTGATGAACATCGATGCAAAAAGCCTAAACAAAATATTGGTAAACCAAATGGAACAATACACTAAAAAAAATTATTCTCCACAATCAAGTGGGTTTTATTCCAGGTTGCAAGGGTGGTTCAATATTGGCAAATCAATCAATATGATACATCACGTTAATGAGAGAAAGGATAAAAATCATAGCATCATCTAAACAGATGCAGAAAAGGCTTCTGACAAAGCACAACATCTGTTTGTGATAAAAACCTCTCAAACAAAGTAAGTCTAGGGGAAAGGAACCTCAACATAGTAAAGGCCGTATATAAAACCCTCACAGCTAATATCTTACTAAATGCTGAAAAACCAAGGGCTCTTCCTCTAAGATCAGGAACAAGGAAAGGATGTTCACTCTCACCACTTCAACAGAATACTAGAAGTTCTAGCCACAGAAACAAGAAAAAACAACAAAACAAAAGATATTCAAATTGGTAAGGAAGAAGTAAAACTTCCACAATTTGCAGATTACATGATACTATATATAGAAAACCCTAAAGACCCCACCAAAAAACTACCAGAACTGATAAATGAATTCAATGAAGTCACAGGATACAAAATTAATGAACAGAAATCTGTTGAATTTCTATACACTAATAACAAAGTAGCAGAATGAGAAATTAAACAATCCTATTTACATTGTACAAGAATAATAAAACATCTAGGAATAAACTAAAACAAGGAAGCGAGAGGCACCTGGGTAGTTCAGTCTTTAAGTGTCTGCCCTTGGCTCAGGTCATGATCCCAGGGTACCAGGACCAAACCCTGCATTGGGCTCTCTGCTCAGCGGGTAGCCTGCTTCTCCCTCTCCCACTCCCCCTACTTATGTTCCCTCTCTCACTGTCTCTCTGTCAAATAAATGAATAAAATCTTTAAAACACAACAACAAAACAAACAAACAAACAAATACACCAAGGAAGCAGAAGACCTGTACTCTGAAAATTATAAAACACTGATGAGAGAAACTGAAGGTGACACAAACAAATGGAAATTCCATGCTCATGAACTGGAAGCCCCGTGTTAAAATGTTTATACCACCCAAAGAAATCTACAGATGTAATACAATCCCTATCGAAATAGCAACATTTTCTACAGAAGTAGAATAATTTTAAATTTGTTTGGAACCACAAAAAAAAAATCCTAAATGGCCAAAGCAATCTTGAGAAAGAAAAACAAAGCTGGAGTTATGATAATCCCAGATTTCAAGACATACTACAAAGCTGCAGTAATCAAAGCAGTAAGGTACTGGCACAGAAAGACACACATAGATCAACGGAACAGAATAGAAAGCCCTGAGATAAACCCATGCATATAGTAATAATCTAGGACAAGGGAGGCAAGAGTATACACAATGGGGAAAAGACAGTCTCTTCAATAAATGGCTATATGAAAACTGTGCACCTACATGCAAAGGAATGAAGCCGGACCACTTCCTTACCCATACATAAAAATAAACTCAAAATAGATTAAAGGCCTAAATATGAGAACTGAAACCATAAAATTCCTAGAACAAAATGGGCAGTAATTTGACAATGGCTACGTAGGTCTCCTCAGGCAAGGGAAACAGAAGCAAAAGCAAAGCATTGGGACTACACCAAAATAAAAAGCTGTTACATAGTGAAAGAAACCATCAACAAAACAAAAAGGCAATCTAATGAAGGGGAGAAGATATTTGCAAGTGATATATTTGATAAGGGGTTAATATGGATGTATATTTTATATATGTGTGTGTGTGTGTATAAATTAATACAGATATGCATATATCTGTATATCCTATAACTTCTACAACTCAACACCCAACACTCAACATCTGTATATCCTATAACTTCTACAACTCAACTTAATTTGATCTGATTTTAAAAAATGGGCAGAGGACTTGAACAGTTTTCCCAAGAAAGACTTAGAGATGGCCAATAGACATAGGAAAAGATGGTCAACATCACTAATCACCAGGGAAATGCAAATCAAAACTACAATGAGATATCACCTTAGACTTGTCAGAGTAGCTAAAATCAAGAACACAAGAACACACGTTGGTCAAGATGTGGAGAAAAAGGACCCTTGTGCACTGGGAATGCCAACTGGTGCAGTCATTGTGGAAAACAGTATGGAGGTTCCTCAAAAAATTAAAAATAGAATTACCAAAATCCACTACTGGGTATTTACCCAAAGAAAATGAAAACACTAATCTGAAAAGATATGTACACTTCCACGTTTATTACAGCATTATTTACATAGCCAAGATGATGGAAGCAACCCAAGTGTCCATAGACAGATGAATGGATAAAGGTGTGGTACACATAAACAATGGGATATTACTTAGCCATAAGAAAGGATGAGATCTTGCCATTTGCAACAATATGGATTGACCTAGACGGTATATTGCTAAGTGAAATCTGTCAATGAGAGAAAGACAAATACCATATGATTTCACTCATAATGTGGAATTTAAGAAACAAAGGATAAAAAGGGAAAAAAAAAAGAAGAAAGACTCAAATACAGAGAACAAACTGGTGATTACGAGAGGGGAGGTAGGTGAAAAAAGGGGATTAAGAGTACACAAATCATGAGCATAGAGTAATGTACAGAATTGTTATACTGTACACTTGAAACTAACATAACACTGATGTTAATACTTCAATAAAAATAAAATGTACTGTTTCCACACAATAATCTCAGAATCACACAATGTTTGACCTAAAAAGGACCCAAGAAATCATTCAGTCTAATCACTACACTTTACAGATGAGGAAACTGAGGCTTCCGACAGCCATAATAAACAATCAGGGGCAGCCCCAAAACAGGACCCCATGTCTCTCAATTCTAGTCCACACCACCATTTAACCCTGGAAACACTACAGTTTCTTCTGAGAGATATGAACCAGAAGGGAACTCCACATGATGTGCCTTCTTCCTGCCCTGATCCACTGTAGCTGAGTCTTATAGGCAGGAAGGAGGAGGTATATACACCCAGCTTCCTCACTCTTAGTATTCTTGGAGTCTGCTGCCTGGATAATTAAAAAGGAGCACAAATGACATGTGAACAGCCTGATTTCCTTTAATCTTTGAACAGCTTTCTAATATGTAGAAATTGGAGGGAACAAGTGATTATAAAAGTAATATCTAAAGGTGCTATAAACACACTAAAATGTAACTTGCGGAAGGTTACCAACTCTCTCTTATTAAATGACTAACTCACCTAGAACTAGATTTTTCTTTTCCCTATTTCTGATTCATTACAAAGTGCTACTTGAAGTACATGAACATTTTATATAGGAGAGATTCCTAGAGCAGAGAGATCAGTTTCAAGCTAGTTTAACTATCCATGGTAGTTATAGATAACAAAAATTCGAAAACTTCATTTTATTGAAATATCCAATCATTTCTCCCTCAAAAATGAATCTGCTTATCTTCTTTAAAAATGTTGTATGTTGATTAAGGATTACAAAGCAGAAATGGAGACAGTATACAAAAGAAAATGTGTAAATCACCATAAAAATATTCTGTCTAGTTCCTCTACTATTATTCTGGTTGAAAGTCATTCCCTCTCATTCTTTCACTAATGTAAAAGAAAAAAGAGCAACAGCAATGACTCCAAAGTAGATAACAACTTACTTCCCCTGGGTTGAACTTATTTACGAAAGAATTCTGAGAAATCACACACCTTACCAACAGTAGTACAGCACCTGAAGACTGTGCCAAGGCACTAGGTTAGCAAGCAACACTTTTATTCCTTTCAAGTTAAAGGAATAAATCAAAGAGTTCTAACAGTGGCCTTCCACTGAAATACTAAAAAGAGGCAGAAGATGGAGATCACAAAACAGGAACAGGGTCAAAACTAATGTGACTATGACATTATTTCCAAATCACCAAAATATTAGAGTGCAATAGTAAAAAAACATCCATAATCAATAAAGTTGGGAAGAAAATTGAGTACAAAATGTATATATAATTACTGATGACTGTCAGTGTTGCCAATGTAAAATAAAGTGTAAAATTAGTTCTACATACAATAAAGCATTTCATGTTTCCTTCAAAACAGTATTAATAACTTTCAACATTTCAATAATTAAACATTTTCTATGTTTGTAAGTTATGTGATATGATTGGTTTTTCTCCAACATGCTGGATAGTTGAGTCTACCACTGCATGAATTTCCCAAGCAAATACAGTCCAATATACAACCTTTCATAAACTTAACATGCTAACAGCTACTGAGTGCCATATCAAATAGCCATTCCTAAATCAATCAGCTGTACCATATCATATGTACTATTCTCCTATTCAGTTGTTAAATTAAAAATCAATCAAAAAAACCTTTAACAAAGGAAAAAAAGATTTCCTACCTCTATTTCAGAAGCTGACATGTACACAGCCAGAGTAACCAAAGATAATACTAATATAATGTATGGAAAGGCATAATCTGAAAAAAACAAACATTGGTATTGAAAATTAAACAAATTTTCTGAATAAACCATCAAAAAAATTCAAACAGCATAATTCTCCTCATAGTGAAAACTTTCTCAACCAGTCCTGTGAGAGACTTAAGTCCTAATGCCCTAAGGCAGGGGTCAGCAATCTTTCTGTAAAAGGCCAGACAGTAAATATTTTTGGCTTTGTGGGCCACCCAGTGACTGTCTCCATCACGCAAATCCCTGCTGCAGTGGGTACAGCCAGACAATCCAGAAATGAATGGGTGTGGCTATGTTCCAACAAAATTTTAGGGGTAATAAAATCCAAATTTCACATAATTTTCATATGTTAAGAATTATTTTTTTTAATTTTAAAATTGTAAATTGTATTTTAAATTGTAAATTGTAATTTTTAAAAAGTAAAACTATCCTTGGTCCAGCTTTGAAGACCCTACCTTGAGGCATCCATTGAATGTAAAGAATTAACTTCTGTCTGTGCTTCTAGATCACTAGTATGTACCAAACTTGGGAGGACTGAGAAAGTAATTACTCAAATAATTTTGTTTTGTGGTCCAGATGGAGGACACTGGTTGAGAAGATCTATACAGTTTTAATAACTCTTTAGAAAAGTTCAGTGTCAATAAACCTCAAAGGACAAACGGAGCATTCAGTGTTATGTCAAAATTCTAGATATTTCTAATTCAAGCAAAACTTTTCCTTATAAAACTATTTTTCTCTTAAAATGTTTTCAATTTATAGCACACTAAAACAAATGAACAAATTGAGAATAAAATCATGAATTATTTTTCATATAATTATTTTAAAACAAGTTCAATTTATGAAACCACTAATCATTCTGCATCGCAGTGGAACCCATTTGGAAAAATTTCAAATGTTAATTCAGAAAGCAGAAGCCAGAAATTCTGACTTATCTATACAGGCCCAATTCCAACTTACTAAATAACTGAATGCCTTATTTGACATTTACCATCTTTTACTTCACAGACAGCGATTAGGTCCTCAACCAACCATTCAAAAAAAACCTCATTTAATTTATAAACAATATTGCTACTGCTACAAATTTAAGACTGAGTAGTAAAAAGCCATCTATGTTTAAAAAGAGGGAAAGGAAGTTTCTAGCAAGGCCTAAACTTGTGGGTAGTAGAGGGTGGTCTTGGGCTCAGGCATGGTTCTTACTCTAAGGTGTAAAATAATTTGAGATTTTGAGCAACTAGGCCCAAGGGTAAGGCCTGAGAATCTGCATTTTAGTTCTTCTAGTGGTTCGGATGCAGATCACACTTAAAAATTGGCTTCAATAATAATTCCAAGGAGGTAAAATTTGTCACAGACCTCTTCCTAATAAATCCAGGGTCTCTCTCCCTAGACACAGGTATCTTAAGCTACCAGAAGCTGCTTGCTGCTCTACTTTGCTCAGACATCTCTATTTCCTTGTTATGAACAGAATGTTTGTGTGCCCCAAAATTCTGCTGAAATCCTAAGCTTGCGATGTGTTGGGATTTGGAGGTGAGGCCTTTGGGAAGTGATCAGGACATGAGGGCAGAGCCCTTGTGAATGAAAATAGTGCGTTTACATAAGAGAGCCCTCTACCCCCGACTTCTGCCACATGAGGACACTGTGGGCTCTTATCCAGACACCAAATCTGCGGGTGCCTTGCTCTTGGACTTCCTATTCTCCAGGACTGTGAGAAAAAAATTTCTGTTGTTTGCAAGCCACCTCGTCTATGGTACTTTTATAGCAGTCTGAAGTGACTAAGATACCCCAACAAACCAAAATCATCTATTTACTTTTTTTTCCAATACCATAAAATTACAAGTTGGTATGATCTCTGACTACTCTCAGCAGACTGCATACATTTACATTTAGTGCAAACGAACACTAACTCCTTGATCCTCACAATGAATGTGTTTTGAGCAGAGGCTTGTTAACAAAATGATCTGACGGTCTCTGTGGGACAAAGCATTTTGCAATATCGGCAGCCACATATATGAAGCAGTGGGGTCTGGCAGTCTCCCTGGGTTAACTTCCTAAACCCTGACCCACTTTCCACAGTTTTTCCCCTCAAGAGGTTCTGCACAACAGCACCAGTTGTAGTCTAGGACACAGGGTGGAGGCTGACAATTCCTAAATCCTTCCCACCTAGACAGCTCTCCTAAGTGCCAGACTGGTATAAATAATTACCTGTACTTTAGTGAATATTCCATGAACAGCTAAAACCAGATTCACTCCTCATCAACCTATTTTATTTGCTTCTTCTAATAACTGCTTCTGTTGCTCTATTTACCAGTTACTAAGTCAGAAAGCTACTCGATCATATTCTCCTATTCCCTCACCCGTGTATTTAATCAGTTACCTAGTTTAGTTAACTCTATCTTCAAAATACTCTCCATTTCCAGTGCTTCTCTACTTTAGGCCAGTCCGACCTGGCTAGCTGCAATAACGTCTTACCTGATCCTCCAGGTCCTCCCCCCCCACCAATCCATCCTCCACACTGCTACCAAGTTCTCTATCCAAAATGCAAACCTAGGTATGTCACTCTGCCGTCTAAAATCCTTAAAGAGTAGGTCTCTATTCCCGAGAGCAAGAATAGCAACCTCAAACACCTCCAGAGGCCAGCCAAGCAGGTGAATAAGGGAAGTGGGCCAAATCTAAGAAAATGGGGAATGGTAGGAGCTAGAAGGAACCTATACATTTTCAAGTATTATGTAGGCCAACTGAAACAATGTATCAGTAAACTAGAATATGAGGGATGACAGACCTCTGACTAGTCTCCAGTTTCCACTTCCCTTGGCCTTACCTTCACAGTGCTATCCTCCTCCAGAACCAAATTCATTACCATGCTACATTATGATGCCAATCTTGCCTAGTTCCTTTAGGCCAGAAGCCTTGTCCTCTGTAACCCGGTAGGGTTCATATAAAAGATGGCATCTAACAGCCCTGCAATATTCAGTGTCACATATTCAAGTAAGTACTATACTACATTCTCTCCGCTACTTATAGCTTTCTTACTAGTATGTCAATCCTTTAACACCAAACTTTCTCTTATTCTTCTTTTGAGTCACAATTCAGTCTACATAGTTACTGAATAAACGAACAGCTATATTAAAATAAAGAATACACTGAGGATTCTTTTATTGTACCTAAAAAGCTTTGATTAAGGAACTCAAAAACTGAAGACATAAAAAAAAAACAAAACAACAAAACTGAAGACATAACTTAAGGATAATATATGTTAGTATATATTATCAAACAGTAGTTTCTATATATTATATGTAAAAACAAGTTCTTATTTTTTAATTTATACTCAGGTTTTAAAAATATTCCTACTTAGGTTCAAAGCTTCAGATTCAAAGTATTCATTAAACAGAAATCAGCTTTGATTCGTCTGAGAACATTCCATTCCAAGAAGCCCATTTTTTTACGTTTTTTATAAGACTGATAATGTTTTAGCAAAAATATGTATTTTCAAGGATTAAAAAAAAAAACTATTTTGAAGAAAAAGATCCAAAATTATACTTAGAGAAAATAGTTTATCACACATAAAAATAAATATATTTCATTGACTTGACCCATCAAACTTACATAAAAGGCCTCCGCCAACTGCCTGAAGCACAGTTAAAATTGGGAAGAAGTACAGTGCAGCATAAATACTTTTAAATCGATCAGACTTTCCTAACCCACAGGCAATCTTCTTTACCAGAAGTGGTCGGAGTAGCATCATCAATACCAAGCAGAATGCATAATAGATAAATACAATGGTGTATCTGTAAAATAGAACAAGGAATCATAACACGGAGAATAAGTTTTAAAATAGCTACTGATCAATTTAAAATCAAAGATGCTAAAAAAGGGCACCTGGGTGGCTCAGTGGGTTAAGCCGCTGCCTTCGGCTCAGGTCATGATCTCGGAGTCCTGGGATCGAGCCCCGCATCGGGCTCTCTGCTCAGCAGGGAGCCTGCTTCCTCCTCTCTCTCTGCCTGCCTCTCTGCCTGCTTGTGATCTCTCTATCAAATAAATAAATAAATCTTTAAAAAAAAAAAAACAAAACAAAAAAAAACAAAGATGCTAAAAAAGATTTTAAAAGTGTATTAAGTCAACCTATTAATTCATAAGGTTTCAGTATTGTAAACATTTTTATAGTAAGTTTCTAATAATAGAAATTTACATGCTTTTCCATGTTTCATCTAATCAAGTTCCCCTCAAAACTACAATTAGAGTAAAGTATCCTGGTATTTCTCAATTTGTAAGGAACTAGGCTATATATACACCAATGGAGAAAATAACCTCCATTAGTCAATGTAATAGTGTTCCAATGATAATTTTATGCCATCACTTTTTGTTGACTCACAAAAGAAAAAAAATTTCTATAACTTTTGGTAGTCCTGTAGCCTTTTCTTTTTTAAGTCTTTTTTTTTTTAGTAATCTCTATGCCCAACCTGGGACTTGAACTCACAACCCTGAAATCAAGAGTTGCATGCTCTTCTGACTGAGCCAGCCAGGTGCCCTGGGTAGTTCTGCTGCTTTTTGAAAAGTTTAGCCCCAGTAAACAATATGTAAAGTAAATATGAATAAACCCAGTGTTGATACCATAAAATCTCTTAATTTTCAAAAACCACTGTTGTGTATGATTAATAAAAAAAGGCCACTGCACAGTGACTACTGGAAAAGCTGCTGAGAAAAAAAAAAAAAAACCTACTTAATTCAAAGATGGTGATCATATCCTGATCAATGAAGTTGTGTAAGGATGTGGCCACAGAATGAGGATGGAGAGCATCTATTTGCCATCTCTGTTCTAATCTTAGTATTTATTGACTTTCCTACTATATGCTTTATAGATAGTATAAAAAACATTTATATATGTGACCAGCAAGTGAGTCTGATTTTTTTTTTAATAAAATGGTTATATACGATATCTGATTCCCTTTTTAAGCTCTCTAAATAGGACCAGGTTAAGTCCTGCAGTCCCCTGGATAGTATATGAGAAGAGAATAATCGAAGCTGAGAGTTATAGCTCTATGACACCAACCAAGAACACATTATTAGTCATTTATATATAGTCTTACATGTAAATTATATGTATATACAGGGACAGATGGCATATATACAGGAAATAAATAATTTACAGGGCTTAATGGTAGGCAGGTGGAAAGATGTTCATACCTTTGTATCTGGAACTTTTTTTAAAATTACCCTTTTACATATGTGAATGTGCTTTTCACACTTAGTACGCTTAAGAAACTGCACAAAGAGGACTGTTTTCTTGAGCATATTATGTAATGGTAACTTGCTATATAAGAATGTCAATACCAGACTCTTTATTACACCTTTACCAAGAAAAACACATCAAAATGAACACGAGGAGAAATTCTAAAAACGAAGTAGTCTAGGACAATATTATACAGAATCTTATGAATTTGGTATTTTTTTTTAAAGATTTATTTATTTGGCAGATAGATAGCACAAGTAGGCAGAGCAGCAGGCAGAGGGATTTGGAGAAGCAGACTCCCTGCTGAGCAGGGAGGCCTGATGCAGGGCTCGATCTCAGGACCTTGGGATCATGACCTGAGCTGAAGGCAGCCACTTAACTGACTAAGCCACTCAGGTGCCTCAAATTTGGTATTTTTAAGACAAAACATTCTCATGGAAATTATAAACATCAGTTGTGGAAAAAAAACCAAAACCAAAAAAAACACTAACCCAAACACCCTAATTACAATGCCAACTACTACTTTATTAAGTGCTTCCTGTATGTAAGCACTGCACATAGTATCTGATATGTGCAGACTTAATACAATCACGTTATAAGGTACCATTATTCCCATTTTTACCAATGGGAAAAATGGAGGTTATGAGAGGCTCTTAACACAATCATGTTAACCACAGCAGCTCAGGATTCAAACTCAAGCTTATTTTTAGTCCTAAAACTCATACTCTTTCCTCTATGTCAGATACTGCTTCTCTGTTGCATATCATGAAGGTTTTCCTTATAAATCCCTTTTAAAGAAACAAATGCCGCTTATTTTAGAAATGCTTATATACACTTCAATACCAACATAAAAACATGTTCATAAAAACATGTATTATACCAAAATGTATTTCTATTCCCATCTATTAGACTGTGTATCCTTCAAGAGCAGAAAATCATCTCTGCATATCTCCCAGTTCCTGGAAGCCATTCTTCAATACTCAACCTATTGAAATGAATAAAATCTATAGTTATCATTTTCTAAGTGATCTTCGGTCTGTGAAAATACTTACAGTGGGTAAACGGCTTCATGTGTGCAGTGCACCGTGGTGATGTAGTCAGGACTCGGGTTGTAAAGCATAGTGTACCAATCGGAGAGCATCAGGACTCGGCAGGAACGGATGTAAAGGACACCGACGGGGTCACTCACAAGTAAGGTGGTAAGAGCTGCCATGGTGCATTCGAATAGTGCAGTGACGTGCTGGAAAAGTGCGCTGGAACTAGGAAAGCAAAAGCAGCACAATTACCGGAAACTTTTCAGGATTTCAATGGATTTTAAGAAAACCTGTATGTTTCAAAATACAGGTTCTAAAAGGATATTTTAACTGATAAATCCTGAAGCTAAAATATCTTCTAAATAGGTTAAGAAATGTCAAACATAAAAACCACTTGAAGAGTTTAACCATCTATATTAAAAAGGGATACAAATCCCAGATAACACGGTGCCAGTACTATCTAAATGTACAGAAGCGCAGAAAGTATCTTTAGTGCCCTGCCAAACTGTTAAGAATGTCTTAGTATCTATGCATTTTAAATGATCTTAAATATCAAAAGCACATAAAAGATTATGTGTGATATATATTAGTTATAAAGTGTAATAATATAGTAAACACTATAAGCTCATCATCTAACCTAGAAACTACAACATTAACCTACATTTACCTCTGTTCTTTCCTCATTCTCCACTCCTGGCTCTCTCCAAAGAGGTAACCATTATACTAAATTGTCTTTATCACTTTTTCTGAAGTTTTTATTCCAATTAGATTATGTTTCATAATCTGTCTAGTATTGCTTATTTTTTTTTAAAGATTAACTTATTTGAAAGAGAGGGTGGGGGAGGCAAAAAGAATCTCAAGCAGACTCCCTGCTAAGCATGAACACAGGTTGAGCCTGACGCAGGGCTCAACCTCATGATCCTGAGATCATGGCCTGAGCTGAAACCAAGAATTGGACACTTAACCAACTGAGCTCCCCAGGCACCCCAAGTTTTGGCTATTTTTAAGCACTATTAAAGTGATATTTGTCTTGAGATTTTTTTTCATTCGAAATTACATTTCCAAGATTCATCCATGGCATTGCCTATAGCTAAAGTTCAGTCATTTTCACTGCTATATAATATTCTACTGCATGCCCATTCCATCATTTATCCGCATTTGCTTTTTTAAGTACGTTGTCAATGCCTTCCTCTCAATTTAAAGGTTGAATTTTCACTTTCTTGTGATATTTATAAACAGATGTTCTAAATTTTAATAGAATTTATCAATTTTTAAATTTCTGGTTAGCATTTTAATATTCTGAGAAATCCTTATTCCAAGAAAAATATTAACCTATATTTTCTTCTAGATTTTAAGGTTTTGCTTTTCACATTTAAGTCTTTCACTCACCTAGAATAGATTTCTGTGTATAATCTAAGGTAGGGTGTGACTAGATTTTCCCACTTGGGTATCCCAACTGTCCCAGCAGCAGCACATTACTGAGTAGTTTACTGTCCCTCCTACCCCACCCCCAAGCCCCCAAACCGCCATGCCACTTCTGCCATACAAGTTTCAGAGATTACTGGTCTGTTTTTAGGTTCTGTATTTTGTTCCTGGGGTCCAATTTTATCCCTGAGACAAAAGAATATGACAATCATCCTTGGTATTACATACATTCTTCTACTCCTTCAGTGGTCTTGGCCATTCTTGTGCCTTTGGACTTCCATATAGATTTTAGAATTAGCTTGTCATGTTCCACAATATGACTCCAATGTAGCTTAGCTACCTCAGTCTTAGCTATCTCACAATACCATGGTACTATAAATGAAATATAGGGAGATAAAAGATCCCATATATTTATCTTACAGCCAGACTCTTTACTAAACTCTCTTACCATTTCTATTATCTAGTCTACAGATGCTTTTGAGTTTTCTATCTGAACAATGTTTATCACTGCATAGCAAACCAAAATTTAGTGGTTTGACAACCACCATTCATTATTTCTCACCAGTCTGTGATCTGACTGGGCTCACCTGGGGAGTCCTATCTGTTCCATGTGATACCAATCTGGGATGCACTCATCTAGAGGCTTGACTGGGCTGCAGTGTTCAAAACAGCCTATATGGCTGGAGTAGATGCCAGCTGTCAGCACAAAGAGGGCTGCTAACCAGAGCACCATGTGGTCTCTTATTTTTGGTGGTCTGCAGGGTAATTACGTGAACAGGTATGAATTTCTTACTTCTTCTGCTTAGAATGTGTTTTGCTTCCCCAGGAGCAATTTTGCGAATCTGTTTTTCACTATGTCTGTAAAATCCAAAGCTAATGTATCTTTAAATATTGACTCTCCTTCATTTTCTCTATTTTTTTCTGAAGACTCTGATTAGAAACAATGTACAAAGAGTTAATAAAACTTTTCCTCTGCACAGGAGACTCTGACTTTCAGTTAACTAGCTCAGTTCCTCTAGAAGCCTGATAAGGGTAAAATGTCAACTTTATTGCCAGGTAACACTGTTGAGGATACGAACAACTCCTTGATTGGTAGACTGTACCGGGACTGGGGAGAACTACAAATAAGGAATAAATATCTGATGGGGACACCATGGTCTGGCTTTCTTGAGTTCAGCAATTCTTGTAATTGGCACGTCCCCAGCAGGGCTCTGGAAGCTATACTTATGGAAAGGTTTCAGAAAGAATGGCTCCTTTAGGGCATAAGACCTTAAACCTGGACTCCCACACCCACTCGTGTGGACTTTATCTTCCTGCAGCTGAACTCAACTGCTTCAAAGGCTGACGCTGCCCTGTAGGCAAGCTGTGTTCCTTCTGGGCAAGACTGGTTCTTGGTATGACCTAGGGTTGTCTACCTCTGGTAGTCTGAATGTTTAACTGAACCTAGGTGAATTCCTACAGGGATTATAGACACACACTACAGCTTCTCATTCTATGCTCCATTTCTCTTAGTATATTTCAAATTTTCTATCTCCTTTTCTCTCAGCATTGCATTATTTTTTAAATTTTTTTTTCAGTGTTCCAAAATTCATTGTGCACCACACCCAGTGCTCCATGCAATATGTGTCCTCCACGATATCCACCACCAGGCTCACCCAACTCCCACCCCACCAAAACCCTCAATTTGTCTCAGGCCACAGTCTCTCATGGTTCGTCTCCCCTCCGATTTCCCCCAACTCACTTCTCCTCTCCATCTCCTAATGTCCACAGATACATGTATTTCCTAATTCACTAATTCTATCTTCAACTGTTCAATCTACTGATTGACCTACCATTTTAAAAATTTCATTTCTAGAAGTTCCTTTCGTTTTTTAAACCAACCTGTTTGTTCATTCTCAATAACCTCTTGTTGACTCTTGGAGGTCTTTGAGGCTGTATCCTCTATTTCTTCAAGCACTACAAGGTAGCCTACAGTCCATTATCTGCAGTCCTTTGGAAGCACACCTATACTGTCTGTTATGTTTACCCACTCTCAGTCATGGTGTTGATTTTATTTGGTTATCACGGAGTATGAGGTCATTCACAGATATTAATGAGTAAGAGTCTTAGGGCCTAAACTAAGGATGCGGGAAGCCTTCCAGCGAAGAGGATCTGTGCTTTCGCCGGCAGTCATGCCCACCACTACCTTGGGCTCCAGCCTCTTGAGAGTGTAGGCTTCACACCGGCTGCCTCAGATTCAGGACCTGCTGTGGTCCGCAATAAACCACAGGAAATGCACCCCCCCCCCACTGTCTGCTTTGTCACTCTGGCCCCAGCTTAAGGTTGGCTTGTGTTTTCTTTTTTTTTTTTTTTTTTAATGATTTTATTTACTTTTTTGACAGAGATCACAAGTAGGCAGAAAGGCAGGCGGGGCGGGGGCGGGGGGGAAGCAGGCTCCCCGCAGAGCAGAGAGCCCAATGTGGGGCTCGATCCCAGGACCCTGGGATCACAACCCGAGCCTAAGGCACAGGCTTAACCCACTGAGCCACCCAGGAGTCCCTGGCTTGTGTTTTCTAAAAATGGATTCTTGGAGATCTCCCCTGCTTCCAGTGAAACCAGCAAGGTCTTAAATAGTTTGTCTTTTCCAAACTTCAGTTATTTCCCACAGGAGGGTCGCTTGGAGCTCCTAATGAGCCCATATTGTAGGAAGAATTCCTGCATGATTTTACACAGATGGAAAGAGTGCATATGTAAACAAACATTTATAATTTCACATAATATAATCTAATATTTTGCTTCATTATAGAATTCATATTTTTAGAACCCAACCTCATCATTTCTTGCTATTACTTTAGTAACCTTGTCTCTTCTCATTGTGCCCCTTTCAAACTGTCTGCAGTCAACCACACAATCTTTACAGAACAAAATTGGGATTCTAAAACTCCCCTTAGTAGACTACTCGTTGAGTTCCATCTGTCTTTCAGGAAAAATACCCCTTACCAGCATTGTTTTCCACCCCTCCCAGCCATGCTACTTTCCTTTTCTCCTCACACATCCACACACGTGGGCATCCTTCACTCACCCATCTGGCAAGCTGTGCATCCTTCAAGATCAGCTCTGGAAGTTATTTTGAGTCTTTTGAATACTTCCTAAGATTCCTGTAGCCTCAACTCTCTATCCTGGTCTCATTTAGTCCCCATCTCTCACAGGACCCTCAGCTCTCACCTCTTCATTATACTGTGTGTTTTTTTGCCTCCATACTTTGGCACATCTTCTTCTTGATGATAGACTTTTTCCTCAATTTCTGTCAAAATCTACTCACTTTGCAAAGTCCAGCTTAAAGTCAGTTTTTTCTGTGACACCGCCCTATTCTGAGAAGGAAAAATTAATTTCTTTCTTCTTCATGCCAGCCTTAAAACTCTGCATAAACCTCTATTACAGAACCTCACAAACACTGTGATGGCTTGTCTATTTCATCCACCGGATTGGGAGCAGCCACATTTCAGTCCTCTCTGAATCTTGCAATGCAGCACAGCATTTGGCACACTGCAAACATCCCTAGTGACCGCTCAATACATTCTAAAAGTTATAAATTATATAAAAACAAGTCACATAAGCAGCACAGCTTCTGACCATACTGCATAAAAATATGTAATTCTGCTTATCTTTGCCCTGGCCCTAAAGAAAAACAAATTTAATACTACACGCTGGGGAAAGCAAGAGTACCAGAAAGGAAAGTTTTGATGAGAGTCTGGCCAATGCATTCCCAAGGGGTGACTTCACTCCTAAGAGGGCAAAAATTGGTTCTTGGGGATAAAATAATCTTACATTTGTTATATATAGCACACAGGTGCATACACGACATAGACAGTGATGATATTAAAATTTCATGGGCGTAGGTGAAATCAGGAAAAAAGTATCTGAAAAGGCTCCTTATTTAAGGAAGTGACAATGAATAAAATGTTGAGAAACACTGGGCTAGTCTCAGACAGCTAGGCCTCTACTTCCTTGATTGTAAGGGCAACATCTCTGGAAAATGCAAGAGATGGCTCTGGTGTTCTTTGCTGTCAATTTCCTAGGCAAAGCATACCTAAGTTATGCAAACTCCTTCTTTTTAAACACACCTGCTTTCCTGCCTGAGAACTAATCACTCCTCTGTTCTACCCTCAAACCCAACCCCACACTCTGCTCCAAGACTCTCCCTCAAAACATATCTGATGTTTTAATTCAAATGCATTTGGTGAGGTACATCTCTCTACCCCCATCACTTCCCTGCTTATGGCTGAGACGTTCCAACCAACTAGCTGAGCAATTACTCCACTTCAGCTTTCAGTTTATCACGTCTCCTTTCTTGTCCTCGTCTCTCATCATTCTAGAACAGAAATTAAAAGCAAGATGAGAGGTACTTTTTAAAAAACCTTTTTTACGGATCCATCTGAAAACAAACCAATACTTTTCCAATATAAATAATCAGTGTGGATTTATTAGGTGGGATCCAGAAAACTACTAATTCTAATTATGTCTGCCCATCCTTCCCATTCCCATTCACACTACTGGAGTCTGGTCATCCCTACTTCTTGCAAATAGCCTTCTAATATACCTCGCCTCTCATCTACTCTCTATAGACGTTACCTTCCTAAAATATACAGCCAGTGATGTATAAACCAAAACCTTCACCAATAAATCATCCACACAGCAGATACTAAATGAGCATCTGTTACGTGCCAGCAGCTGTGCTGGTCTCTGGAAATTCCATGGAGAACAGAGATCGCCACTGCCCTCATGGACTTCCAGTTGGGAGGTAGGAGGAAACAAACATAATTATACATTGTGTTGACTACTAAATACAAAACAAAAACAATAAAATGAAGAATACTATTTAAAAAAAGGGAAAAAGGAGGGCAGACCTACTTTAAATTGGGTCTGGGAAGGTCTCTACAACTAGGAGTAATTTAAACTGAAATCTGAAGGAAAAGGCAGCTAGGTAAAAAGCTGCATTTGAGGGGGACAAGAGAGCATCTGAGGCAGAGAAGAGCTGGCGAAAGGGAAAGGACCAAAAGAAAAGTTGGAGGAACTAAAGGCTGGTAGGGCTTGAATGTACTAATTTGGCTGCTCATTCCCAGTATAAACTTCACATCCTCACCAAAGAACCTTCCCATTCTGGGGGTGCCTGGGAGGCTCAGTTGGTTAGGCCACTGACTCAGTGTCAGCTCAGGTCATGCTCAGGGTCCTGGAACAGAGCCCCACACGAAGCTCCATATTCAGTGCAGAGTCCGCTTGTCCCTGTCCCTCTGCTCCTCCCCCTGCTTGCACGAGTGCACAGTCTTTCTCACAGCCAGAAAAACATACCTTCACATTCTGGCCTCAACCTGTTTTTCCCACTCTCCTATTTATTACCTTTGATGTGCAATCCACACTCTGACCACCCCAACTACTTCCAGTCCCACCTGCAGCACAGCACACATTTCACACTGCCATGCCACTGTTCGTGCTATTTCCTCTGCCTAAAATGTTTTTTTGAAGTCTTTCAGATCACACCAGGCACAACTCATCTCTTCCATTCTTTGTGATTTCAGAACATTTTGGTCATAATGCCTTTTTTTTTTTTTTTTAAGATGTATCTATTTACGTAAGAGAGAGAGAGAGGGAGCTTGAGTGCATGCAAGCTGAGGGAGGGCTGAGGGAGAGAATCTCAAGCAGAATCCCCCCCACCCCGCCCCCGAGCACAGAGCCTACACAGGGCTGGATCCCATGACCCGAGATCATGACCTGAGCCAAAACCAAGAGTTGGACATCTAACCCACTGAGCCACCCAGGCATCCCTCATAACACGTTTATACTTTTTTTTGTTTATACACTTTTAAAATTGATTTATAATTAGTTGCATATGCATTTGTCTTCTCTACAAAATTAGAGAAGTTCATTATTATAAACCACATCAGTTTTTTCTGTACCTCCTCCCCAATCATCTAACCATAAAACATAGGGCTCAATAAATGCTTGTTGATTTTAATGTTTTAGTATCAGTTTTCATAATTAGGTTGCAGCCATATTATCTTAATTTTATACTAGATTACTAGTATTAAATTAAATCACAAAGCATTTGTTCTCCAACAATACAGTTTGTAATCATAACCAATTCTTTATAGAGAACCCATAGAGATTGTAATTAAGAAATGAAAAAAAATTCCTTCCTAATCATTTAGAGTGAAACAAAGGATATTTCCCTTTATAATTACTAAGACATGCCCTATCCTTAAGTTTTCTTGCCACAGTCAAAAGTCATCAGAATATAAAGCAAAAAGTTTCACCGCAATTATTTAATAAGGTCTTCTAAATGATCATTATTCCAACATCAGTCGGTCCAGATACATTCATAGAAAGTGCTAACCTCTTTTTCCCTGAATACCATTCAATGAAGAACCAATGTAAAACAAGGGGAAGCATAGCCATAAATCCAAGATACAGCCAATCATAAAGTTCTGGAGACTCTGTGCATGGCTGACAGTATTTCTGTGCATTTGTTCTCTGTCCTCTTGGACACACCTATAACATAAGAACAATATTTTTTGTACAGATACTATTTTAGGGATTTATCTTAATATCCCAAAGTCATTCTATAAAGACATCCCATTTCAGTTTAAACATGTATACATGTGCATCTTTTAGAAATAAAAAAGAAAGTGCATATGTAAAATACATCTACATTTTATTTGATGTATCTGTATAAAACTCTTTTAAAAGATTCCTTTTACTAAGTTACTAAAACAGTTGACTAACATTAAATGACAAACTTAGTTAATAACGCTACATAAAAATAATTACAGAGAAAAATTCTGGAGTTTTAATGTTAACTTACTGCCCAAGTCACTGCACTATAGCATTAATAAGTATTAGAAATTACTATAAAATTATGTTTTAAAAAAATGTTAGTTGAGACTGTCAAGAAAGATGTATTACAATTAATATGACAACACAAATAAGAATTTTATTAATGTGTCATAGTTTTATAAATTGAGTATAATGAAGAAAAAAGATATTCTACAAGTGAAAATATTTCAAAAGCAAAAAGATTTTAGCAACAAAACAACATCGAAATGTTAAGACTTACCCCACATTCTCCATATATTTCAGTTGAACCATTTTTAAATAATAGGGTCTTCCCACAGTAAAGTCCAAGGCATGCTGGTTGAATATCGACAGCTTTTTAAAAACAAATGCCAGTAAAGTAACATCTTTTGTGATTATAAAATAATGTAATAACAGTTGAAGCACCTGGAAGAAATATCTCAACACAGTTGTTAAAAAGATACAGATTAACAAAAGTCTTGATGCACTTACTTTTAAAATCTAAAATTCCCCTTTTACACCTTGTCACTGCAGAAAGTTATATTGAAACCTTGTTGTTAATGCTATTGCTTATGGTTAAGAGCCATCAACCAGCAGAGCGGGATCTATCCCCAGAATTCAAAGCTTAACCTAGTATGCCTCCAGGGGCTCTGGCAGTAAGTCCCCTTGATTAGATGGACTAGACTTTTGCATTTCCACTTTTTAATTAGAAAGCTAACAGAGGATCACCACCCCTTATTTTTGCCCACTCAGAACATGCACACATACACACATACACAAAGACACACACACACAGTATCACCTTCGTTCTTAATAGAACACATTTTAATACCAAAAAAGCAGAAAAGACGTAATTTCAAAATAAAGGCCAGGCCTTTAAAGTAAATAAATTCACCTTAAGAAAAAGCTTACAACATTGTCCTAACTTTGGTCATGTTTGTTGAGGACAGGAGAAAATTTCATCATCTGATCAGTATCTGGGATACTGATATCTACCTTAGAATCAACCCCCTGCTCTCAAGGCTTGGACAAAATAAAAAGCAGCTTTTCTTCACAAAAAAATACCTCAGGGCCTACAGATTGTCTTTGGCCTCAACAACAAGAAGTTATTAAACGTGTTTTATTTTTTCTTCATCGGAGACATCCAATTTCCTTCGTTCACGGATTCATTTATTCAATAAACGTGCATTAAGTATCAGATTCCCTGGCTAGGAACTTCTTAGAGAGCCACAGAGCAACATAACAAGAGTCCCTGCCCTCAAAGAACCTACAGCTTAGAGAAGAATAAATCTGAAACAACTGTGGTCAAATGTGAATTAATCTGGAAAATTGTGCATTTTAGGACTATTGTAGGGACCAAGGGCAGGCTCCCAAAATGAGCCACTTTGGAATACTGATTATTTTAAATAAAAGTTACTTAAGAAACAACAGGGACAAGGACATTCACACCTCTTCTGTCTCCCTGAAAGCAGTAAAAAGATATCCTTATTAACAGTGATAATGACTTTAAGGTCAAAAAAGCTGCAGAAATAAACCTTGTTACTTTTTTGCCAGTCTACTACCTTAGCCCAAACACCTGTTTTCCTTTTCCAGTAAATTCCTCACAAATTTATTGCCTCTTTGTTGATAATGTATAAAGAACTGCCTGCCTTGGTCATTTCTTTAGATCTCAGGTTTCATAACTAGGCCTCCATGAACACATAAAACTTTTTTTTTTTTTCTGTTAATCTGTCTCATGTAAACTTAATTTTTAGTCCAGCTGGAAGATAGAGAAGACTTTTTCCTTCCTTTCACTATTGAATAATTTCCCAAATTCTTCATGAATTCACAATAGAGACTGCTCGGTCCACAATGCCCTTTCTCCTTTCAAATTCAAGTGGACTTTTGATTTCTTTCTCCCTGTGCTGCTGAGAAACAATAGAAATAGCACAAACTAAAATGTTTCAAGTTTAAAATTTTCACTTTTGCCAAGTTCCTGATTTTTTTTAATCCATGGGCTTCTTCACCTTATTTGGCATTTAATTCTTAATCAATTGTAATCACTACGCCCTAAACTACTAAGGGACAAAAATGAACGGTTTCAGAGTTTTTGAGAAGACAGAAGTTAAAGAACTGGAGGCTTCTTCCACATGTGTTTTGCATCTAGTAGGTGTTTAGTAAATACATCTGAATGTGAATAACCTGAAATTCTCAAAACCCAAGGCCCGAAAACCACCATGATAAACTGAAAACAGCTCATCATGGACCAACCAAAACTACGGCTCCCGGTGTCCGTTCGATATCCCCTTCCCTTTCCCTTCACTGGAGGGTGGCTAAAATATTAAGACTTTTTTTTTCTTTTTTCCAACGGTCTTGTCCCTTTGTGAAGCGCCCTATAAACTTAACGCCTGATGCTCAAGCGGGCGACTTCAGCAGCGAAGGAGCTTCCTCTTCCCTTACTGGCCTTACTAACGCCCGCGCTTTAAATTTTGAAGTCGACCCTCACGAATGCTAAACAAAGGGACTAAAAGGGACCGAAGCGACCTCTCTCACACGACCAAGGCCTGGCATTTTGCCCTGGCACACACAGCCCGTTCCCCTCTACGGCGTGCCTCCTCCGCAGGCCGAGAGGGGACGAGACGACCCCGAACCCCAGGACGAGTCCAGACACCGGGCGAGGCTGTGCGAGCAAGGGGCAAGGATGCGCCGCTATCCGCAGGCCGCCCGCCGGGGCAGAGCCCAAAGCCGCCACCGTGAGGAAGAGACAGGGACTAAGACAAACGCTTCCCGACCCTTCGGGGACCACTCACCCATTGGCCGCTTGCAGGTCTCCCCGAAGGAGGTCCGGGATCAGCCGCCACGGTAGCAGCGCCCGGACATCCGGCCCACAGCAGCCTCGGCGGCTCCGCCTCCTGGTAACCCGGGCGACCACCTCGGAGCCCCGCCCCCTCGCCCTTCCGGTCTCTGCTACGACGCCCCGCCCCGGAGGGAACGCTCTCCCGCGGAGTAGGCGGTTGAGCCGTGGGCTCCAGGTTCGCACTGCGGCAAAGTCGTCGCGTCGCGGGACTCCGGCGATGGAGAAGGCGCTGGCGGTGCCGCGGCTGCCCCCGCACGACCCGGGGACTCCGGCACTGTCGGTGGTGGACATGCACACGGGCGGCGAGCCCCTGCGCATCGTGCTGGCGGGGTGTCCGGAAGTGGCTGGCCCCACTCTGCTGGCCAAGCGGCGCTACATGCGCCAGCACCTTGACCATCTGCGACGACGGCTCATGTTCGAGCCCCGGGGTCACCGGGACATGTACGGAGCTGTGCTGGTGCCTAGCGAGTTGCCGGAGGCGCACCTGGGCGTCCTGTTCCTGCATAACGAAGGCTACAGCTCCATGTGCGGCCACGCAGTGCTGGCGCTGGGCCGCTTCGCCCTCGACTTCGGGCTGGTACCCGCACCCCCGGCCGGCGTCCGCGAGGCCCGAGTCAACATCCACTGCCCGTGCGGGCTGGTGGCCGCCTTCGTGGAATGCGAGGGCGACCGCAGCCGCGGCCGGGTGCGCTTCCACAGCGTCCCGGCCTTCGCGCTGGCAACAGGTAAAGGACGAGACCCTCCCAGCTCTGGGACGCAACTAACTACACTGTCTCTCTGGCCTGAAACTCACGCAGTGCAATTAACCCACCCACAAGCTTTTGCAGTTAATAAAAAGATAACTCAATGCAAATGTGTGTCAGCATGTTAGCCTTGCAGAGTTGTTCCGTGTATGCCGCAGATTATTTCGTCTGGGTCTTGAGGGCCTTCAGGAGTACAGAATTCCGTGTCTCCCTTACTCAGCGCCTCATGCCTCACTGTCAGGCATTCCTAGAGATTGCACAGTTGGGTAAGTCAGATAGGGTCAAGGCAAGAGCAAAGAACAGCCAAAGTGCCAGGGTTCAGTGGCTGGTTCAGAAGACACTAGACATTACCCCCTGACAAGTTACTAAACCCTGTCTTGTTTTCCTCACCTGTGAAAGTGCCTCCCCCATTTCTTTGGGAAATAATTAAATAAGAATGAATGAACTAAGCAGTTTATAAACCAGGAAGATACAGATGTTGCTGATTTTATTCTTGAAGAACAAAAACAGCTGTTGTCTGAGTCCAAATCCTGATAACCCCTTAAAGCCATGCAACCTTAATCAAATTACTAACCTCTCTGTGCCTGTATTTTTTCACTTGTTATCTCATTGAGTTTTTGGTGAGGATTTACTGAGAGTATGCAAAGTACTTAAAAGTTTTTAAAAATACATTTCGAGAGACAGGAGGACTGTAGGTTTAACACCCAGTGCTCATCATAACAAGTGCCTCAATACCCATCACCCATTTAGTCTATCCCCGCCCACCTCCCCTCCAGCAACCCTCAGTTTGTTCTCGATCATTAAGAGTCTCTTATGGTTTGTCCCCCTCTTTTTTTTTTCCCCTTTTCCCTAGGTTCATCTGTTTCGTTCTTAAATTCCACATGAATGAAATCATACGGTATTTTCCTCTAATTTCGCTTAGCATAATACACTCTAGTGTATTATGCTAAGCCTCCACATTGTTGCAAATAGCAAGATTTCATTCTTTCGATGGCTGAGTAATATTCCATTAAATACATGTAGGTACATACATATATACATGCCACATCTTCTGCATACATTCATCAGTTAATGGACATTTGGGTTCTTACATTTCTTACAATTGGCTATTGTTGATAATGCTTCTATGAACATCGGGGGCATGCTATTAGATCTTGATCTTTCTTGAGGATTTGGACTCTAGATTAGCCTAATTATGAATGAGGCAGTAATAGCCCAAGCATTTGTCAGTCTTAGAGCAACCTCAGACAGCTGAAACACACAGGTTGATGAAGAATTCCCCTGGGGAAACTGATGGCACTTTGACCTCTAGGAGAAAATGATGTCACATTTGGATAGGGAGGGCACTTGAGATAGACAGGAGTTTGGTTAGGATTGCATCTCAAAAATCTCAGCAGTTTAAATAGTTTAGCTACCCAATTTCTTCTTAGGCAACCCCAGCAGCAGACTGGAAGCACTCACTCTAGGTTCGAGGGAGATGGCAGCAGGGTCACCAATGACATCATAGTTCAGGGCTGGCTGGGGCAGGGCAGCCAATCTGTAAGCATATGCTGAGAGCTACACTGTGTGACTATACGATAACTGATAGGCAGTAATGGTCACTTCGAGTGATTAAAAAAGATCCCAAATTCTCTACTTTGAATAATGCTAAAAGGATGGACTGACAAGTGTTCAAGGTTACTGCTCTATCCCCTCTCCATCTTGATGACCTTGCAAAAGGGATTCCACACTTCAAGGTCATCATCTGCAAAATGAAGATGACAACAGTATCCACTTCAGAGGATTGCTGAGTTGTTTTCCATTCCACACTGCTAAAATGAAAACTTCGTTGTGTTACTGTGTTCAAGTGCTGGAACAGTAGGTAGTCAATATTTGTTGAATGGGTAACTAAGTAAATGAAATTGGGAGAAGAATATGGTGATTAACAAGTGTAAATATCCTCTTAAGAACCCTATTCCCCTTGGAAATTAAATTTTTGGCCTTACCATTAACATTAACATATTGCTCGTTTGTGCCAAGCACTCCCCACACGTTATCACATGGAATTCACACAACAGTCCTTTCAGGCGGGAATAATAGTTCCATTTTTTTTTTTTTTCTGTTTAGCTCTTTCATTTTTTTGTAGTTGAAAAAAACAAATATAACATGAGATCTACCGTTAACAAATTTTTAGGTATGCAGTATAGCATTGTTAACTATAAGCACAATGCGGAACAGCATGTTTCTATAACTTCCTCCAACTGCATGACTAAATCTCTGTATCTGTCAGGCAGTAACACCCTGTTCCCCCTCCCCAACCTTGTGCCTTGCAACTATTATTCTGCTCTGTTTCTAAGAGTTTGAAAAATTTATACACCTAATTCATGGGAGATTTTGCAGTGTTAATTCTATGACTGCCTTAATTCACTTAGCATAATAGCCTCAAGGTTTGTCCATGTTGTAGCACAGGACAGAACAGTCTTCATTTTTTACGGCTGGATAATATTCCATTGTATATATCACATTTTTTTTTTAAATCTCTTCATCCCTTTAGCAGTTCTATTTTATACATGAGGACACCAAATCCACACTTAGCTTTCCAGCTTCCAGCAGCCCCACTTTTCCATCTACTTCCTCATTCTCCTTTCGTTAAGGCTGATTTTTATGTTACACTAGCATCAAGATAAAGACATGTTTCATTCATAGTTGCTCTTAAGTTCCACAGGCATATTTTACTTTTTTGACTATAAACTTGCTCTGTTTTGACACATCATGTGTTAGAAGGGCTCTGGGGGCTAGCCTGGGACTGAGAGCATACTGACTGGTATCTTTGTATGACTCAGTGTGCAAACTCAGGCATACAAGCTGTATTTTATTTTTCAGAGTTTCTGAATTTGAGACCCCATCCTGCCTTGTTGATTTGCCTAGTCTCGTCGGTCTACATGCTGTCCCTGTTTCTGATATATTTGTAGCAAATCTTTCTGAAAAGAGCCAAGGTCTTGAAGAAGAGGAACTTTTGGTCACCAGCATGCACAGTCAACCAGTGAAGCATCATCTTCCCCTGGCCATGTGGCCCCTGTCCCTGCCTCCCCTCCTCTTTGTTATCTCTGTCACACCCTGTAGCCTCCCCGTAGTGTTGTGAGAAGTCAGCATAGGTCCTCTGCACTCCAGACCTGCCACCTCTTTCCTCGGTCCAGAGGAAATTTCTCTACTGACCAAGAGAAATACGATGACCCTTCAGGACACTGAAGTTTTATGGAAACTTGGACACTTGGGTATTATGGAAACCCAAGATCTTTCCCCCCAGATCTTGGGTTTCCATAAAACCTGCTTTCTCGCCTACCATACACTCTCCCGGAGGTAGTGATCACCAAGACAGCTTGAATTGGGGAGGAGGAAGAGGAAAATGCAAGAAGGAGAAAAACAGTTTGAATATCCCAAAATATTATCCAGCCCCATTCTTTTGGAAATAAAAATTTAGGATTTCAAACAACTGATATTCTGGTGAAACTTTGGGAAAGCTGGGGACTTAGAATACTCTCAAATCCTAACACAAAAAATACTGCAAACATCAGTGATTCTATAATGGCTTTATTCTGAGTATTTGCCTGCTTCATGAGATGAAAATACATAGATGAATTAGTATATATAACTTACATAGAAAAATCTTTTTTTCATTTTGTTTTGACATTATAGCTGTAGAAAGCCAATTTGTGAATAGGATCCAAAATCCTATATTAAACTATTCCTATTAGGGACACCGGGGTGGCTCGTAGGTTGAGCGTCTGGCTTCAGCTCAGGTCATGATCCCTGAAATCAAGTCCTCCATCAGGCTTCTTGCTCAGCAGGTAGCCTGCTTCTTCCTCTGCCTTCTGCCCCCTGTGCTTGTGTTCTCTCTCTCTCTCCCTGACAAATAAGTAAAATCTTTAAACGATTCTTAATAGTAGAATGAGAGGGGACTTATATTTTCTGCCCTTGTTTTCACATGTTGATGCCTCAGGATTTCCTCTCTCTCCGCCTTTATAAGGTTTTCTAGCAAAGATCTTCAAAGTAGTTAACAAAATAAGTATACATGATTTAAGAAAAACATGGCATTAGATGTTCTCAGACTTAGATGAATATCATTAAGTTAAAAATAGATCACTCAGCTAAATGTCTACTATTATTGATGCTTACTCATTTTAAAAATACTTCATTCCTTTCTATGATAAGAAAAAGTACCCCTCCACCAAAATACACATATTAAAAATGCTTTGAATTGTACTGCCAAAATACTATAACAAACTTATTTTCAAACACATCTTTTTTAGATCTCTTAGTGGATGTTCCCGGTCATGGAAAGATGGCG